ATTACAGGCATGAGCCACTGCGCCTAGACTGTTATGGTTCTTTTTTAATGGTTTTGTAACAATAATAATAACTCATTCTTCTAGTTATATATGCTTAGTTGTGATTTTGTCCTCTGTTTATCCATTGCTATTTGCAGTTATAGGCATTCTGTTTGTGACATGAAGAAGTTTTAATTTTTTATGTGATCATATATGTTAATTTTTGGATGATTTTTGTCCTTGATGGCATAACTAGAAATTTCTTCTTCCATATTCCAATAATTTATTCACCTATATTTTCTTTGAGCTTTTTATGGTTTCATTTCTTACACTTTATTCTTTAACTCAAATTTAGTAAAGACAATGTGAAATAAAAATCTAAAATTCCTATATCCTAAATGCTTAGCCACTTGTTTCAGCAAGTGGCTGAATAATCCTTTTTGAAAAGAAGACCACATTTATCATCTGTTAAATTTACATATTTATCTGGTGTTTCTATTCTATTTTCTTTATCTTTTTATTATTCTTTGCAAATACAAATATTTAAAATTATGTCTTCTAAATCCTGTCATTTCTGACAATATGAATAAATCCGAGGACCTTATGCTAAATGAAATAAGCCAGGCACAGAAAGACAAACACCTCATGATCTCACTTACATGTGGAATCTAAAACAGTCAAACTCATAGAAGCAGAGTGCAGGATGATAGTTACCAGGCTGGGTAGTGGAGGGAATCTGGAAATGTTGGTCAAAGCGTAAAATGTTACAGTTAAGTTACACAAGTGGAGTAAACAAGTTTTTAAGGTGATAGATATATTAATTAACTTGATTCAATCATTCCATACTGTATATATATAACATCACTATCACTGTGTACCCCATAATTTACATTATTACTTGTCAAAGTGTAAATAAATTATTTTTCCTAAATAGCAGTATGACAATAATATTAAAGATAAAAAATTATATCCATTATTACATGCCAGGTACTCTTTTAAGCCCTTTACATCTATTAATTCATTTAATCTTCATGACAACCTATGAGGTATATACAGGCCTTCCTTCATAAAGTGATATATATGTTCTTACAAAACTTTAAATTCTGCAAAATCATGCACAAAATATAAGAGTTTATTTGGGGGCGGGACAGAATAAGGTTGGAGAAGACTATTGAAAACCCATGTAACTGTGTACCCAGAGAGCACCAACTGAAATAAAAGCAACCCTAATAAAAATCCTAGAATGATATACCTCTATAGCCTTTGCACTCAATATATGTCAGTCATTCATTCTCAGCCTTTACACTGGGGCTTACGTTTCTTTCAAAGTATAGATAGATCTTTAAGGGAATTAATTTTTAGAGATTAATTTCATTACAAAATCTGAACCAGTGTAGGATGACTATAGTTAATAATAATGTATTACATCATTTCACATGACTAGGAGGATATTGAATGTTCCCAACACAAAGAAATGATAAATGTTTGAGATGACAGATGTGCTGATTCCCCTGATGTGATCACAATACATTATGTGTATCAAAACATCACTAGGTACCCCATGAATATATACAATTACTATTTGTCAAGTAAAAAAGGTAAAATTTTAAAATCCGAGCAAGAGTACAACCTTATCTATTAATGCACTTTTTAAAACACAGGAGAGATGTTTTTGCTGCTATTTAATCTTCACTCAGTTTCACCAATAACTCAACAGGTGCGTAGAATGTGGAAGTCCTTGAAGCCACTCCACAGCTTCCACTAAAGGAGATCACTGTGGCAAAGTTTTCAGCTTCTTTCTTAAGATGCTCATATATTGCTAAGGCTTTCCCTTTAATTGGGAGAAAGCTGACCCGCTTGTTTCTTTGTCTTCAGTTGAAATGTTTAATTTTTACTGTTTTCTTTGCTGCACCCAACAAATTCTGACGCACTGGCAATTATCTGTGCTATTTTTTTCCCTCCAGAGTCATCTCCAGTTCTATGCCACATTGACTCCTTTAATTCATTTATAAATGTGACATCACAATCTCTCCAAATTCTTTAGTTTTAAGATGTTCTTTGATTGTTCAAATATTTCAGAATTTTCCCACTAACCTTATGACAACCCACTGAGCATTCACTGACATTTTTAGAATTAACTCCCCATTTATAATTAATATAAAATATGTTCCTAGCCAAAAACAATATTTCTAAACTTTTCTTCTTGGCGTTACTTGAAAATAAGAACAAAATATTTACTAGAATAAAATGTCATTTAGAAATCTTTTGCTGTATTCTCCTGAGAAATGTCAATCTGATTCTTGATCTGTTCTTTCAAAGTTTTGTAAAATTTCCTTTGTCTTTGATATTCTTAAATATCTACAATGTGTTTAAGTGAGATGAATTCCTCCCACTTTGTCTTTGACACCCCTTGAGCCCTTTTAGTCTGTCTTTTTTCATCGTTAATGTAATGCAATTCTTGATCATTAATTCTTCAAATATTTCATTCCTTGTGCTCATTTTTTTCATCTCCTTCTGGGGCTCCAACCATTCCTATGATTGTCCTTTTATTTCTGTGTGTCATATTGCTTTGCTTTTAAATTTTCCATCTCTTTATTACTTCGTCACATCTCCTGCGAGTTTCTAGAGCTGGCCTTCCAGTGCATTAATTCCACACCAACAGCTGTACCCATTCTGCTCCTTAAATCAATGGTGGAATAATTTATTTCACCTAATTTCAAAATGTGTATTTCAGAAGTCAAAGGGAAATCTGACTTTTCCTCACCCTAGAGCCCGTCAGCTAGGGTAGGCGTGTGATCTAGAATCAGCCAGCCAAGAATCCCACCCAGGATGGCTCAAAGAGACACATTCTCAGAGGCAGTGGCAGTGTCAACACCACAGTGCTGACAGCTGAAATGGGAGACGTGGTGCCAGCATCAGTCCCTGGAGCATGACTTGATTGTGTTCTTGTCTATTTAGCCTGTCTTGGTTCCCATTCTGAGGTTGATTCTCCAGCCTTCTCCTTGGTTCTATAATGTAGTCAATTTCCTTTCAGTAAGTGTATTTTCTCCTTAAGTCATATGAAGTTGGACTATGTCATGCATAACTGATAGCACAGGTGACAGAAGTTGAGATATGGGAGAAGAGCAGGGCAGGTAAAGCACTCATTTCTTCCTCCTACATAATTAGGACTCTATGGATATTGTCGTAAGGCATGGTTCAAAAAGCAGGGTTGAAAATATATTACTTATAATCGTAAAAGTAATGACAGAATGACAAAATAAAACTAATCAAATTTAGGAGAGGGAATTTGATTAGAGGTAAAATGAGATAATCCCCAAACCTTGATGAATGGGACTCAAAAGCTTCAGTTTAAAGCTGGTAAGACAAGTAAGAGAGCCAAAATCTTACTATTTAGAATTGTAAAAAATAACCACTAAAAGAACTAACACAAGTGATAAGATACAATTCTATCCAGGTAGTGGGACTGATAATGGAAGGCGGCGTGGGAAAACGTTCCTGTTCATTTTCTACCTTTCTGTGCTGTTTAATTCATTTTTAGCCATGCTCATATATCACATTTTTAACATTTCACACCTCCTCTAGGCTACACCACCACAGAGCATATCACATAATTAAATGTAAGGCCATTAATACACACACACACACACACACACACACACACACACACACACACACATGGATCCAGCTGCAACTCTAAAAATGCAAATTATAAAAGATTCAATTACATAGGAGTTAATTCAAGAGTATATATTTGCCTTTGGATTTGTTTTCTTTGCTAAAACACAAAGCAGTCTCATACCCATCATAAGCTAAATTGTGTACAGAAAAAGAAGGAAATCCACAGGCTAATCCTATTTTGAATTCTTACAAGTATGAACAATGAGCTACTTAGAATTTACTGGAAAGAGCACAAGACTTGGAGTCAAAAAATCTGGGACTACTCCATCTACATTATTTACAAGTTGATGATATCGGGCAAATCATCACTCTAGCCTTGTCACCTGTAAATTGGGAATAAAACTGCTAACTGCATAGAGTTGCTATTAAAATAAAATGAGATAATGGACTATATGTGAGATTGTCTGGTAAAATGTAAAGCCCAATACAAATATTAAACACTATTATCATTATTACAGCAACTGGTCACAAAGGACATCTGTAAAAAAAAAAAAAAAGAAATGGCATAATGAAAATTAATTCTACTAACAAATATATAACCAAGAAGCAGCACCTTGCTATTTAAAAAGAATGAATATGATCCTTCCCAGGACACAAAATATGGTACCTGACCTCACACAACTCACAGAGACAGTGGAACTAGTCTCCCCCTGTGTGATGACTGGTATCCACATGTGCCTAGCATGTACCTCAATTCTCAGCTTCAGGTAAGAAAGAGATATGTTTGAGAGAATAGATTAATGAAAGTAGATTCGCATGGTCAACAGGAAGCAGAAAAGAATGTTTAAGAACATCAAGCGTTACCATTTAGATTTCAGATCCCCCAGAGCTGAAACAAAGAAGGCTAGAAAGAAGGCAGAGAAAGAGGTGCATAGAAAAGTCTGTAGCAAGAGGGAAGGGATTCAAAGGAGGGAAGGGCAAGGTTAGCTCGTTAGGAAAGTAGCATGTTGTAAAGCAAAGGACCCTGGACCAGGAGTCAAGAAACAGCTCTAGTTGCAGCACTGCCACAAGCTCTCTATGAAACCCTGGGCAGGACACTGCCCCTCTCAGGCCTCAGTTTCTTTACCTATAATACAAAGGAGGTGTTGTAAGAGTAGTTAGTACAGCTAATCAATCGTTCACAGAGTATTTATTGTTTATTATGGGATAGGCAGTTGTTCTAGTCTCCAGGGACATAGGAGAAAATAAAAACAGACACAGCTCCTGCTGCCATGGATCTGGCATTCTTAATGATCTCTCTCCAACTCAAAGACCTGGCACACTGGAACTCTGACTGTAGGCTGTGGTGCGGCCACAGTGGACAGGCAAAATGGCTAAATGACTGAAGAGAAGACAGCATGAACTCTTCAAAAGCAGTCTATTTTTCTTTTTTTTAAGCAGAAGCAAGTGCTCCTCACTCTCATGTTGCCCGAATCCAGGTCCTGAGCCTTGGAGCTTAATACAGATCGTGGCATCTAACTGACTTTTATTCTGAAAGCCAAGACTGGGGCTCCAAGAAAATTCCAGAAATATACGATGTTTTGTTTTGTTTTTCAGTTACATAATTAGAGTCATTACAGCAGAGAAATGGGGAAATTATTTCATGCTTTTTTAAAAAAGCCTATCTAAAATGACTAACATTAATGTAATTTCATAAAATTTAACAATCACTATAATTGTTCCTAATGTTTTCTATAATAAGAAAAACACAATTTATATATGAATTATTTGCTATATGTAGACAGAATATAATACCTCTTTCACCAAACATGAAGCCCTAACCTTGATTTCTGTAGTACATTAAAAAAATGTATTTTGTATTGCCAAAAGAGAAATAGTATTGGGTTTTGATCCGTTATTTTCTGTTGCTCATTCATTAAATTGGAGTAAAAGAAGGAAAATCTTAAAGACATGAAAGGCAGCTCCCTTATAGAGAGCTGGAGCATCCCAAGAGTGCCTCGACCACACATTTCTCCCCAGATCATGGGCCCCAGCATCTCCGAGCACACACTGTCTTCCGCAGGATCTTCTGACAAGTCTGCTTCACCCTAGGAATCCCCATGATCAGTATGAGGGAATGAAGAGAAGGATAGGCAGCCATGACTGTCTCAGAGATTAAGACACTGGTGAGATTAGGAGGATAAGTCTTGGAGGTGATGGAGAAGGGGGTGGCTATGACATAAACCAGGTGAAGTAAGAGGAAGCAGCCCAAGGACTTCAGGGCAGTGATGTGAGCCTTGGCTCGGGCATCCCTCCTACCAGCTGAATGGACCTTCATCTTCCTGTGGTGTGTATACAAAGAGACAATCAGCATCCCAGAGGAAACAAGAAACACTATGAAAGGCAACCCACTTCCTGAATTGAGCCGAAATACATAGAAGTACTGCCAACTTGCAAAGGGATACAGGATGGTGCTGTTTCCTTGGGGAGGACGATAGAGCATTAAGCCGATTTGGACTGTAAGGAACAAACTGATTATAAAGTACCACAGAAGGCAAAAGAGACTCAGGTTATAGGCCCTCTGCTTCAACCACAAGTAGGCAGGATGATCACAGGCTGTGATCTTCTTGCAATAGAAGACACTGAGGAAGGTGGCAAACCACAAGCTGGCTTGGCTTACCAGGACCCAGAAGATACTAAGATAGCGGAGCCAAAGGCTGCTCTGGAAAAGTGGAAACAAGCTTAAGTCCAAAATGATCAGCCACTGCAGGAGAAATCGGCAGCCAGCCAGGCCCAGGATAAGGAGGTTATATGAGGACCGCCTGAATTTTCTCATCCATTCCCTGAAACTCCAGACCACGAGGACTCCATTTCCAATTAAACCGATGAGAAATTCAACTACTGCTACCGGCATCAGCAGTCTTAGAGCAGTACTCAGCATGGCTGGGGAGGGGAGGCTCTCACTGCTCCTGGCTGAGGTCGGATCCCCTGGTAGGGATAACGCACCAGGGTAAATTTTCACACCACAAAATCTGGATTTGACCTTGTCCTTCTGTAATCTATCTTCAAGCAAGACTGAATAGCTGTGATGAGGAACAGAGAGGTTGGAAATTATGATACCCTCTGTATTTGCATCTACATGAAGGAACCCTGAGTGTAGACCCAGAGATGGCAAACAGTACCACAGACACTGGATCTCCATCTCAATGGTCACAGGCCAAAGTCTAGACACCAGGATACAATGAAACAAGAACCCTCAACAAGAAAGACCAAATCAAAACATGCTCATGCTCTATAAAGTGCCAGTTATAAGCACATATGCTATATATTAAAAAAAAAGAAATTTTATTTTCATAAAAAGAACATTGGACTGGGCACAGTGGCTAACGCCTATAATCCCAGCACTGGCCAACATGGTGAAACCCCGTATCTACAAAAAATACAAAAATTATCCAGGCATGGTGGCAGGTATCTGTAGTCCCAACTACTCAGGAGGCTGAGGCAGGAGAATCACTTGAACCCAGGAGGTGGAGGCTGCAGTGAGCCGAGATTGCACCACTGCACTCCAGCCTGGGCGGCAGAGCAAGACTCCATCCCCCAACCAAAAAAAAAAAAAAAAAAAATGTAAGCATGATGAGAACTCTCTATGAAGCTATAGGCAGGTAGGCCACTGCCCCTCTCTAGGCCTCAGTTGCTCTACTAATAACTGAATGGCTTGTAGGCCTAGATTTCCATTTCCTGAGTAGACTTACAGAGTGCTTATTTTGTGTCAAGCTACAGTGTACTAGGCGCAGGGGATGGTACCATTATAATACACAGTCCCTGCCTCCAGGTAGTGTTCATTGTACATCATCTCCACCCAGCTGCAAGAGCTAGCATTCTAAAACTCTGGCTATAGGATATGGAGGGGCAGAGAAGGTCATGATCTTCTGCTGGCCAGAAAATCTAGGGGAGGCTTGAAAGTATCCAAAAGCAGTGTTTCTTTGGCAACTTTCTGATAGAGTCATAGTGCCTCTCTCTTCCCACCTGCCCCAATCTAGCCTTGCAGAGGAATCTGCCAGAGATTCTGGTAGCCAACTGACATATTACCAGAAACCTAGCTTGGCATCAAAAAAACAAAATATCTAGAAATATAAAGACAGGATTTTTGGCAGACTACTTTACTACCGGTGTTGAGAGGCTAAACCACATAGAAAATCGAGATACTAACGTAGCTAATTCCACTAAGAAAAGTGCTTGCCTAAAAAATATCCAGGAATTAACATACAGGTTCACTTCTTTTTAAAATATATTATTTTCAAACAATAGCTATTTTATACTTCCTTTTATCAAAAACATAGTGTATTGGCAAAGGAAATTGGATTATCTGCAGTAATTTTTTTTTAATGTGATACTTTCCATGCAAAATATGAAAACTCAGTTTTGACTTCTGTAGTTTATTAAAATAATGTGATTTGCATCGCTTAGAGTGCAATAAGCTCCAGTTTCTATCCTGTTTTTCATTTTGTTTCAAAAAATCAAAGAAGAAACGAGGAGAATTGAGAATAAAATTTTTATTTTACTAAAAACCTACAGTTATTTTTACTGTTGTCAATGATACAGTTAAGGGCTTGATTAGATCCTTCTCCCACATCGTGGCCTCTGGGATTTCCAAGCACATATTATCTCCCACAGAATTCTCTGACAAGTCTGATTCCTCATAACCATTACAATAGAGGGAAGTGAAGCAGAGGCAGCCATGAGTCCTCAGAGATGGCAAGAATGGTGAGATCAGAGGAAGATTAGAAGGTTATGGAAAAGTGGCTGGCCAACGCAGAAACCATGTAAAGGGGGAAGTTCAGAGCCAGAGCGACATGCACTGTGGTTCAAGCCTCCTCCTTACAGCTGTGTAGTCCTCCACCTTCCTGTGATGTCTACACAAAAAGACAAGTGGAACAGGAACACCACAAATAGCGATCAGTTTCCTGCACTAGACTGCAATCTATAAAAATAACAGGTTTAAAATGGGATGGAGGATGCTGCTGTTTCCTGTTAATGGTTTTTAAAGCGTCCAGCCAACAACAGCTGAGAAATAAAAAGTGATCTTGAAAGACATTAGCAAAAACCAAAAACCCAGCCTCCAGGCCCTCTTCTTCAGCTGTAAGAAGTCAGGGAGGCGAAGCTCATGATCTTCATGCAGCAGAAGCCACTGAAGAAAGCAGCAAACCACATGGTGGCCTGGCTTACCAGGACTCAGAAGACATTAAGACAGCAAAGCCAACTACTGCTCTGGGAAAGTGGAAACAGGTTAAGTCCAACAGGATCAGCCTGAGTAGGGGAAAGTGGCTTAATGAAGATTCACAGGGACTCCTTACATTGTTTTGACCCATTCTCTAAAACTCCTGACTACAGGGACTCCATTTCCAACCAGGCCAGTAAGAAATTCAGCCACTGCAACTGGAATCGGACTCAGCAGTCAACGTGGCTGAGAAGGGGAATGTCTCACTGCTGAATCAGGAGGTGCCTTGTTTCAGTGCTGATGAGTATGTCCTGCTCCTGGCTGTGTCAGAATCCCTGAAGATGCTATCAGTATTATGGTAGAACATTTCACCTCTCACAACTCAGATTTTGCTACTGTCTGAAACCCATTCTCTGGTAAAGATATTACAGCTGTGAACAGAAAAAACATTCTTGAAGGTAACAGTCCCACCTTCATTCACATCTACACGACGCTGGTCTGGGATCTGA